AGGAGAGGAGGAGAGGAGAGGAGAGGAGAGGAGAGGAGACAAGGAGAGAATTATTGTTTTCACTTTTTTTACTGAATCTGATCAAACTCACATTTTAAAAACCTACAACTCAGAAAATCAATGAGGAAAAAGAGAAACCTGATGAAAACATGTAAACATATGAAACACTCTGCAGGCTGACAAATCGTTTCCTGATAATGTTTATTGTGTACTGCTCGGTCTGTTCTAGCTGTATTTATTTTCCATTCTGCTTTATATTCCTGCTCAGGTATCAGACTTCAGTCTGATTGTGCTGCTAGTCACTGCTTTAGTTTTTTCTCTTACTGACACGTTCTACGAGTACGAGAACGTCCTCCAGATTACGGTGGCAGACGGACAGATCCATCCATCCTGGCTGACACTCACCTCCTTCTCGTGCTGCAGTTTGAGGTCTGACAGCGCCTCCTTGTGGTCGGACTTCTCCTGGTTCAGCTGCATGGCCATGTCGTCCAGCATGGACTTCCTCTTCTCTGCCGTCTACCACACAACCATACGTCAGTGTCAGTGTGTCTGTGCAGCCCTGTGTTGTGTTGTTCTGCTGCTGTTGTTGTTGTCGTACCTTCTTGGCCTCGTCCAGCTCCCTCAGCAGCTTCTCCTTCTCCTGTCCTTCCTCTGTCAGCTGCTCCAACAGCTTCCTGTTGGCAAAACTCGACTCCTGAGGAGAAAGTCATGAGTCAGGTTAGAAAGTGGAAGATTTTCTGCCTCAGTGCCAACAGTGGAGCTCGTTCCATAGCAGGAGGAAGCCAAGGACGCATCATAAACGTCTGTTTGTTCTCTACAAGCATTTAAAAAGATGGAACAAGAGTTTAAACAGAATAACGATGAGTGCTGGACCACCTACATCCTGTAGAACCGCCTCACTGACCACATCTACATGTAACATTCAGTCCAATCAGATCTGACAACACACTGTTCTGTAGTGGGACCAGAACCAATCAGAACTTCATTTATTCATTCCTACTGTGAATGTTTCCAGAGTTCCACAGAGGAAGGTCCAGATTCATCACCTTTAATGCTCCAAGTTGGTTACAGAGGACACGAACAGAACCAGGTCCAGTGTTCAGACTGAGACACCTGGATGGATGTAGAACTGATCTGGTGTCAGGTTCTAGCAGAACCCAGATGTGTTCTTCCTCCTAAATGTCATGTGTCCATCTGCTGTACTGATGAAGTTCTGAGGCTCAGAAATGATGGAAAAAGTCCATTAAAGGGATCAATCTGGACCCTCCTCTGTGGAGGAACGTTCCCAGTCTGAAGGTAGAACTCTGGTCAGTAGATGAAGGTGCTGCAGGTACAGAACCAGGTGTTCTGAGGAGGTTCTGGATGGTTTTGTTCTGGGTCTGGTTGGTTACCTGCAGCTGGGAGTCCAGGTCGTCCCTCTGAGCCAGCAGACTCTCCTGTTCGCTTCGTCTCTGCTGCAGCTCGGCCGTCAGAGCCTCCTGCTGCTCTCGGAGCAGATTCATCTCCTGCGTCTTCACCGTCTGGATCTGCACGAGTTCACACAGCTTTATTCACCTGCACAGGTTCTACCAGAAACACTCAGATGACTCTGTGAGAGGACGATGATGAACAGCAGAGGATGGAGGAGGAACAGGAGGCAGCAGGCGAAGGCTGAACGTCAGAAACAAACATCTGACCAAAGTTCTGGGTTTCTCAATGTTAACGTCCATTAAACAGCTGCAGCTTTAGAACCAGAACCAGGTCGTTAATCTGGAGCCAACGCACATCAGCTCATCATTACAACATATTTATTCACTGGGACTAAACCTTATCCTTTAACCAATAATGTAAAAAATGTTTGTAATTTTACAGATTTCTATTTTTTAATTTGCCTTTTTTTGTTCATAAAATAAAAATAAAACTAAAGTAATGTGTTAATTTACATGTAAAATGTAAAATAACATGTAAAGAAATAGGATTTATTCTGATTTTTATGTCCAGTTCCACATTTAACATGATGTCACATGTGACGTGACAGAAACTTGAAGGTGACGTGTTGGACGTTCTCAGGTTCTAAGGTTCTAAGGTTCTAACACCACTGATCATCAACTAACGGAGGCCTGAATGAACAGAAAACACAATAAAACCGATGAATGCAAACATCACGTTCTAACACAACTTGTAGAATAAACGTTCTCGCTTTGAGGTTCTGATTTATTTGTCTGAACATTTCTGCAGATTTGGGTTTTATTCACCAGCTTTACTGGAGTCAAAACGCTGGTCCAGGTGGGTTCTACATGAAGCTATGGTTCCGCTGACTGTTCTCCAGATATGTTAACCTGATTCATGGAAGGCAGTGCACAGTATTAACCTTTGGGTTTATCACCAGCTTGTTTTGTCCTCGGAGCCCCGTTCTAGGTCTGGGTTCTGTGTATTATTCTTCAATACGATGTTCTTAAGACTTTAGACATCAACAAGAACTTCGGCTTTATCTGATGTTCTCCACAAACTGCTCCTGTTTTATGGGGGATCAGTTGGTCCAACAGAGACGTTAAGGTTCTAGTGATGTGTTCTAAAGTTCTCAGAAGCCTGATTACTGGCACTCTAACATTATCACATCCCATCTACAGCTCATTGAAATCCTTCATTTCACATTAAACACCCACACGCTAAAGTTTCAGACTGTATGTTAATTAGAGTGATTATATTCTGACGATCAGGCTGTTTTGTGTATGTTATGGTTTTGCTGCTCCAGCTGCCTGAACATTAACATCTTTCTACTGTTTGTCTTCTTCCAGAGTCGACCCGCCGGGTTCTGTCCTCACATAACAGAACCAATAACGTCTTTATTGACAGAAGTCAGAAGTAAAGCGGAGGCCTGGAGGCGGTCGGTGAAAGGAGACGACGGGCGATAGAAGCCGCCGACAGCAGAGATTAAACGACATGGTCTCATGTTTACGGCTGCTATCTGATCCACGGCCGACTGGAGCTGGTGTCTGAGGTTCCACAGAGTCAGCAAACACAGCCGAGGTTCACGTGTGCTCTGGAGAACCTCAGACGTCAGTGTTGACGCTGAAAGATGAGTCTGGTCAGCTTCTTGTCAACTGCGTGACATTAAAAATAAATAACAGCAATTAAACGGTACCGGCCCAGTCTAGAGCCTGGTGTCTGTTAAGTCCCTCTGTTCTACCGAGCGTTCCTTCACTGTGGTAAACATGGGTTCTAGATTATTTAGGAACAGATCTGCAGTTAATAACAAAGAGCTGTCCTTTGAGAACGTTCTAGTCAGAGTTCTATTAATGCCTCCTGGAACACAAAAGGTTGACCCGTTCTTCAAACCTTTCAGAAGTCAGTCTTTAAGGAACCCATGGCTACTCGGGGTTCTTGGTTAGGGTTCTGCTCAGTGTTCTCCCCAGAACATATAATAGCACCATCTACTCAGCTTTGAGGGTTCTATTTGTTAGTTGTAGGGTACCAAGCTTTGTATTACTTTCCAGACAGCATCAAAGGGTTCTAGAGGAGGTTCTAGGTCACTAAACCAGTCTCAGACCACGGAGCTACATTAAGGGTCTTGGTCAAGAAACAGTTACCTGTTCCAGAGCACACAGGTGAGTCCTCAGAGCGCTGTACTCCTAAAATGTGTGTTCCACAGTGAAATTAAAGGTAAGAACTTTAGAACTTCACATTTATGATGTTTCTTCTAAAGTTTACCGACTAGTTTCAAACCAAAACTAAATCATGTTTATGTTTGCATTTAGGTTCTGAAGCAGTTCAGTTCTAATCAGGGTTCTAGTAGACTCTACAATGTTCCTCAGGTGTTGGGTTGCTGGTTCTGTATCTAGTTCTCAAACTAGCAGACTAAGCTGGGGTTCTACTTAGGGTTCTACATGGGACTTTTTCGAGGTGTCCAGCTCTGTCCTGGAACCAGCAAACCTCTGAGAGAACCACATCAGGTGAGACGATCAGTCTGAGGTTGAGGTTCTAGATAAGGGTTCTAATTACCTGTTCCAGTGCGTACAGTTCAGACCTCAGAGCATTGTTCTCCTGTAATATGTGTGTTCACACAGATATTAGTGGAAGCTACTACAATAAATAAACAACAGGTTCTAAGTACTGACTTCAGAAGAACCAACTCCAGCGTTGGACGATAGCCATCACGGAACAGTTCTAACATCTATGTTCCATCTACCTTTGCTGATGGAAGCTCTAGGCTGGGTTTGTTTTAAAGTGTACTGACTGACTCCAGAACAGCAGGTTCCTGAACTAAATCCGGTTCTGCAAATGTACATGTTTGCATACAAGTCCAAGAGCAGTTAGGTTCTAACTAGGGTTCTAGTGGACGCTGCAGCTCCTCAGGTGTTGGGGTTGCTGTTAAGAAACTGGCCACTGGTCGGGTTCTACATGAACGCGTTGGTTTAAGACGCTCTGTTTGTTGTTTGTTCTTCAGCCTAACACCAACGACTCAGTTTCAGGCATCGTAAAGGGTTCTGCTGCAGGTACTCAGGGCAGCACTAAGTTAGGGTTCTACGCAAGTTGTGCTACATGTTGGGTTTTTAAGGTGTCAAGGTTCTAAAGGATTGTTCTACTGAGATGTAATTACCTGTTCAAGTGCACACAGATCATCCCCAAGAGCCCCGTTCTCCTGAAAGATCAGTTACAGTTCCAGACTGAGTGGGTGTTCTAGATAGCTCAGTCTGGAGTCAAAGGTACGCCAGACATCACGGGCAGCCAGTACATCAATACAAACTGTTCCTATTGGGTCATTTAAACAGTAGTAATCAGAGCCGTGTTAGTTTAGGTTCTAGGTCCGATGTGTTCTGTGCTCATGGCTCCTTCAGGTGCATCTATCAGCCCTACACCAGCCAGGATAGCACGATGTTCTAAGGTCTGGGTTCTAAAAACTATAGATGTGACAGCCCTGCTACTGGGATGTTAGATTCACCACGGCTGTTCTAAGGTGATGCTGCACATTACTCTTCACTGCTCTAAGACCTCTAGAACTGTTCTTCTGGGTTAGGGTTCTCCAGGTATGTAATCAGCTCCCGACACAGTGTTCTGGGACCAAAGTTCTAAACTACATCTCTTCACTATGTTATAATTGTCTTCAGAAGAACACAGCAGGATTTAAAGTTAAGAAAAACATGTTCTTTAAGGTACATGACTCAGTGCAGAACATGTACATTAGTTCTCAGAGGACCATAGCGGAGACACTTTATCAGCCTGCTGCACTGGACCGGTTCCAGTGTAGAACAGGACTGTCATGTTTAAACATCAGAGTCCTTGACAGCCTGTTCTGCAGGAACCGGTCTATTTCCTAGGACACTTCTGTGGCGTATGTAACGTTCTCCAGGTGTTTTACCGACTGTGTGGAGGCTACATTAGTCCACAGAACGCTGTTCTACGGTTAGAACTGAACACGGCTGCAGGTTTGGGTAGAGGAAGTGTTCCACGTACCAGTTAGTTCAGTCCACAGAACCCCATTCTAACTACTTTTTCTAAACCAGCGTCCTTGGAAATGACATAGTATTGAGGTTCTAGTAACGTTCTTCAAGTTCAATACGTGCAGTAGTCTGTAATGACATCACTGTTGGTTTGTATTTCAGAGTTAGGGTTCCACATGACGTTCTCCAGGCACTGTGTCTTTTGGATGTTAGCTAAGTTGTCGAAAGAGGTGAACTGGTGTTAAAGTTCTCGTAATGTTTTTTTAGGCTCATCACGTCTTCCACAGCAGCTAGGTTAGTCCACAGAGATGATGGGATGATGATGGTTCTATGTGAGGTTCTAAAGGTACATTACCTACGTCACAGAATATCATGGAGAAGGGTCACACCAAGGTGGCGTGCTGTGCACTGAGGGTTTTTTTTAGCCGTTCTAAAGCAACAGGGTTCGTCCTGAGAGCATCTAGACCAGGGTTCTGGATGAAGTTTCATGAGTTTACTGTGTTATACCTGTTCTCCTGTTAGAGATACCATGGTCTGCAAGAAGTTAATTTCTCAGAACATCAATGTAGGTTTGCAGCTATAAATAGTTCCATGTTCGGGTTCTCCAGTTACTCGACCTGTTTTATGGCAGCTACGTTAGTCCTCAGAGAAGACCTGGTGTTAAGGTTCTACTAGTGTTCTTCAGGTTTACTACATAATCTAGAGCAGCTGCGTTCGTCCACAGAGATGATGTGATGATTATGGTTCTAAGTGAGGTTCTCCGAGTGTTTCAGTGCTCTGATGTACGGACGTTCGTGCACAGAACTCCAGTTTAGTGTTGCCCCTCTGCATGAGGTTCTTCAGGTTTATTACCTGTTCTAGAGCAGCTAGGTTTGTCCTCAGAGCATCATTCTCCTGCAGGATGTTGTCCACCTGCTCCTGACTCACTGCACTCTGATTGGCTACCTGCAGTACCATCGCACCACAGGCAGGGGGCGGCAGAGAGGAGAACAGCAAAGGAACCAGAAAGGAGAATCGGTAAGCAGACAGAAACAGACCGAGACCAGAAACAGAAGGTAAAGGTAAGGAAGAAGAAGAAGATAAGGAGGATCCAGCAGGTCAGAACCACACAGCGAGAGCAGAGACGTTCTTCCAGCCGGGTTCCTGTCTTCATCTAGAACAGTGTGTCTGTGTTACCTGGTCCTTCAGGGTGTGCAGCGCCACTTCGTGTTCCTTCTCTTTGCTCTGCAGCTGTTCTCTCAGCTCTGCCGTCGTCTGAACAGAAACACAATCACAGGTCGGTCAGTCTGGGTTTAACCTAAACAGTCTGCAGGTTCTGTGAGAACACTGTGTGGAACCATAAAGACCAAGCAGAGGAACGGTCACGCTGGGTTTATCCCTGAGGTCTCACCTGATTGGCTGCCATGAGGTCGGTCTGCAGCTTCTGGATGCGGATGTTCATGGCCTTCACTTCTTCTTCTTTCCTTTGGTTGATCTCATCGATCTTCGTCCTGCAGAGAGACAGAACGTCAGCACGTTCTCTCAACACAACACACAGTACTATTACCACCAGCAGCTGCAGTAGTTCACAGTATAACTGCAGTTCTGACCTGCTGTCGTTGTACAGAGCCTCCTTTTCTGTCTGCAGACGCTGGAAACTGCAAACACAGACTTTAATCCATCAGTCTGAACAAAGGTGTAATCAGACAGACATGACTGGTACTTATGAATAAAAAATAATCACTACAGAATGGAGACGTATTTTTAAAAACCGTGAATGATGTAAAAAGTTTGGGCTGAACCGTGATACAAGAGCTGAATAACACCAGGTCTTAAATTGTGAATATTCTGAATGAAGTCTGGTACTGTAGAGGTCTGCGCAGCCACACAAGGACTGAATAAAGTCAGATTTAAAATGAGCAAAATAATGAAGTCTGGTACACTAGATGTCTATGAAGCCACAGACGGACTAGAAAGTCTAAAATCAGGAATCTTTTAAATGAACTTGGTGCCGCCACACAAGAACTCAAAGAAGTCAGGTGAAGATCTGAGAATGATCTAACAAAGTCTGGTGCTTTAGACAGTCTGTGCTGCAGACACACAGGGACTGAATGAAGTCAAGTCCAACATTGGTATATTTGAATGAGGTCTGGTGCTATAAATATGCCTGTGAAGCCACACAAGGACTCAGTAAAGTCATGTCTAAAATTGGCAAAATAACGAATAAAGTCTGGAACTATAAATGTCTGTGAAGCCACAGAAGGACTGAAAAGAGTCAGGTCCAAAACTGGTGCTATTTTGGAGTAAGCAGTCGATGAATGTCTGTAGTTCCTGAGCAGGAGTTGATGTGAGGATATAGCCGTGGTGTAAACAAGGCGTCTCACCTCTCCTGCTTCTTCTTTAACTTGTCAGACAGCTGCAGGACAAACAGAAAAATCACAGTCAAAGCGCTGCAGCATTCCTTACATTTGTTTTATGTTGTGAATCTGAGAAGACGATTTAAATCCTCCTGTCGGAGCTCATTCTGTGTGGAAACGCTTACCTTTGTGATCTCCTCCTGCAGTTTGGTGATTTCCGCCTGTTTAGACGCCTGCAGGCAAACAGACGACAGACGTTCAGGCTACAGACAAAAGCTTCTGTCGCCGCTCACTGTTCTCCTACAGTCTACTGCAGAACAATGCAGCTGCTCTGCCAAAGCTGACTTATCAACCTGGAGGTTCCTGACACGTTCTGACAGATCTTAATGATGGAAAAAAGGTTTTCACATCAGCAGCATCTGCTCACTCCTGTTCTAAAGGGAAAGAACCACATCTGACTGTGAAACCTGCAGCGTTTCAGTGACAGTACTGATCAATATGTCCTCTGTGGAGTTGGTTCTCTAGTTCAAAGAGGCTTTGTGGGGTTCCTCAGGGTTCGATGCTCGGCCCTCTCCTACTTTCAATAAACATGATTCCTAAAGGATGTCATTAAAGAGCACAAGACATCAGTTTTTACGGAGATGACACTAAATTCTACTTTAGCTGCCACACAAGCAATCTGAGTGAGATTCTAATGTGGAGGACATTTAAACTGTTGATTGTAATTATCAGTTAACTGATTGATCGCAGGTAAAAATTCTAACACATTGTTTTCTGATCATTCACCACAGAAAACTTTACAAAGTGCATTCTGGGTAAACTTTCCAGGCTCATGTCAGCATGTGTGATGGTGGCTGGTCAGAACCAGTTCTAGACGATGGAGGGACCGTTCTGTGACTGCGTCTTTTTTTGATACAATCATTTTTTACAGACTACTTGGACCTACGACACTATAATCCTGCAAAGAAAACAGAACCAGGTCCAGTGTTCAGACTGAGACACCAGGATGGATGTAGAACTGATCTGGTGTCAGGTTCTATCAGAACCCAGATGTGTTCTTCCTCCTAAATGTCATGTGTCTATCTGCTGTACTGATGAAGTTCTGAGGCTCAGAAATGATGGAAAAAGTCCATTAAAGTGATCAATCTGGACCCTCCTCTGTGGACTTCAAGGACCTGGACCTCTGGAACATTCACAGTCTGAAAGTAGAACTCTGGTCAGTAGATAAAGGTTCTGCAGAATCAGAACCAGATGTTCTGAGGAGGTTCTGGGGGAACTGACTGATTTTTCCATTGCGCTATCAGTTTGTTTCCACTCCAACGTAATAAATGGAGCGTCTGAGTTTCCAGCAGCTGCTCAGTGAATCTCCTGCTGATGTCTTTCTGTTCGCCAGCTGCCGTTTATGTTCCCGTCATGAATTAATTAGTTTCCTTCTCTCAGACGCAACATGTGGCTGCTTCGTCTGCCACCGTTCAGACTCTACGTTCTGTGGAGCAGCGAAGCAGCAGCACAGCATCCAAATATATACATTAGTAAACACTTCACTGGATCTCTGTTCATATTCCACAACTACTAGTGAACAGACTCACAACTCAACAGCATGTTTACCTGTTAGCGGTAGTTAGCTCACTGAGGGGAAGCTGGACAACAGGCATGCAGAATAAGATAATGCTTTACTACTGTTCATTATTAACTAGTTCTAATGTCAGAACAGGTGTGTGTTAG